CACCCCCACGAATCCTCATGTTGTATTAACGACGAGCTTGTCCGTTTTACACGGAAGGCGGAGGAAAAGACTGACCATCATCCAGACACAGAGAAAGGTCTCACGGACCCTCTTGCCGCAAGGTTGCCAGCTCCAGGTTGGGAAATTCCTGGAGATTGGGGGGGCAGAACCTGTGGAGGGCAGGGCTTGGGCACGTGAAGGACCTGGGCAGCCCCCCCTCGGAAGTCATCATTTGGACCAGCTGTAATTCCAGGGGATCCCCGTGCCCCACCTGGAGGTTGGCAACCACAACTTGCGGCGAAGCAGCCCGTCTCCTTTGCCTTAGAAGTCCTCTGCAACAGCTTCTCCAGCCTCGGCATGACAAGACCCCGGGCCGCTTCCTCCGGTCAGAAAGGGGCACCCCACTGTCTCCAGCTGCCCCCCCCCAGCGCTCCGCAGCAGCCTTGCAAACATCGTGAGCGGCTGTCCAGTTGTCCCCATGTTGGGGCCAGATTCTATTTCTGAAATCCACGCAGTGATCTGTCAGAACGGTCAGATCTGATCCGTCAAGCCAGGATCTCTTTCGCTGGACACGAGGCAAGCCGCTTGTTGGCTCTGTGGTCCCTCTGCTTGACTCGCAGGGCTTGAGCACCACCGACACAGGGCCAAAAGTGACGCTCCATGTGCACTTTCGTCACGGAAGGCCTGCCTGCCCGCCCCCTGGACTGCTCCTCCTACAGCTTGTTGAATTAAGGGTCAGGGGCTTCTCTGGATTGCTTCGGCCTCCCTTCCTAAAAGAAAAGGGACTATTCTGTCGATGGTGAGCCATGCTCCCTCTAAGCCATGGAGTCTTGTGAGCAAAAGTTCTGCTTTGTGAGCTACTGGCAATTAAAGTTGCGAGTGAGTGATTTGGCTGCCGCATAAATTAGTTTGCTCTGGAGCCCTCCTTCCTGAGTGAAGACAAAATTGTGTGAGCTGGAGGCTAAAGAACCGTGAGCTAGCTCACGCTCACTCAGCTTAGAGGGAACACTGATTGTGAGTTGTGTAGAGGTTTGGAGATGGGGTGTGTGTTATGTACGTGGACCGCCACCAGGGTTCTGCAGCTTAAGCAGGCGCTTGGTCCCCAAACACAAAGGGGACCTCGGATCCTAGTCCACCTCAAGTCCACCAATAGCACCCTTGGCGGCAAATTCAAACCCTCCAATGGGGACAGAGGTGTGCCAGGCGGAGTGTATATAGTTGGCCTTGCAGGGCCGTTTTGTGTGTCTTGTTGTGAAGTACAATAAACGTGTCTGAACACATGTCGTTGTCCGAGTTCTCCATGCGTCGGACCCAGTACTTTTCAGGGTGGGAAGGGCTGCCTAGCCATGGCTGACTCAGGGTGACCCCACATGGGGTTCTCAAGGCAAGAGATGTTCAGAGGTGGCTTGCGATGGCCTGCCTGCGCATCATGAGCCTGGTATTCCTTGGAGGTCTCCCAACCCTGCTTACTTTCCAAGATCTGAAAAGACTGGGCTAGCTTGGAGTTGTTCAGCTCCTTGGGACAAAACGGCCGTTTGAGGAGGCCAATCCCATCGCATGCCATAGAATTGCTAGGAGGTACGTTGTTGGAGCTGCGGTGGCTCAAGTGGTTAAGACGCTGAACTGCAGGCTGTGGATGGTCGGTAGTTCAGCAGTTCAAGACCCGAGTGTGCCGCATGACGGAGTGAGCTCCCGTCTCTAGTTCCAGCTCCTGCCAACCTAGCAGTTCGAAAGCAAGAAATTGCAAGTAGATAAATAGGTACCACTTCGGTGGGAAGGGAACAGCGTTCCGTGCGCCTTGGTGTTGAGTCATGCCGGCCACATGACCACGGAAACGTCTTCGGACAGCGCTCGCTCTTCGGCTTTGAAACGGAGATGAGCACCGCAACCCTAGAGTCGGACTCAACTGGCTTTCGAGCAAGGGAACCTTTACCTTTACGTTGTTGGCCTGGAATTAATAAGTTTTACCAGACCCCCATCTTGCAACCACCGATTCTGTGACCTCTAGAGCCCCGACACTTTAGTGTTTTGTGCTGTATTGTTTTATTCTGTTTTTATCTGTTTTAACTTTGGCACTCGTGCCTCTTTGTTAGCTGCCCTGAGCCTTCGGGGAGGGCGGGATATGAATCCAATAAATAAATAAATAAATTCCCTCCCTAAATTCCTCCTCCACGGACACCGCCAAATCTTGAGGAGTTTCCCAGGCTGAAGTTGCGACCCTAATTTGCACCGGGTGTTTCAATATGTTTAAAAGTCAATTTACTCACCCCCTTGGGTTGCCAACTCCCGGTGGTGGCTGGAGATCTCCGACTATCACAACTGACCTCCAGACGACCGAGATCCGTTCCCCTGGAGAAGACGGGCTCTTATGGACTCAGTTCACCCGGGATCAGCTCTCCTGGGGGGAAACGGACTCCCTGCTTTGGCAGGCAGGCAGACTCTGTGGCATTAGCCCCCCCCCCACTGAAGTCCCTCCCCCCCCCAGGTCCGCCGCAGGCCCCACCCCCAAAACCTGCAGGTGTTTCCCAGCCTGGAGCTGGCCAGGCAAGGCCCACGCACGCCCGAACCCTTCTGGGCTGGATTCCTAAGAGCCCTGAGAGGTGCTGCCCCTTTGGACCCAGAAATCCCGGCGGGGAAAGAAATGCCTTTGGCACATGCTCAGAGGCCTCCGTGCTTTCCATTAGTCCCAGGTCGAGCGTCTGGGGCCGAGCAGGGCCTTTGAGAACAGGTTCTGGGGCTGCTCTCAGCCACCCCCAGCCCAGCTCTAGCTACACCCAGCGGTGGGGCTCACTCAGGGCGCTGGGAGGAGCCGCAGCAGAGGCCCCGGGGTGCCTGTGGGGGGGAGGGGGGGTCTTGTTGTCACCCCTGCTGGTGCCCGGCCAGGACGGCTGGAGGGATCCATCCAGAGGGAGCCCTCGGAGGGAGGAGCCGCCCTGGCCCCTGGTGGCACCTGAGAGCCCGCCTCTTATCTGCTGCCTCCAGCTGTGAAGGCAACTCTGCGCCTACAGGGTGGCCGGCAGGCAGGCAGGCAGGCGTGCAGAGGGAGGGAGGGAAGGAAGGAAGGAAGGAAGCAGGGACACAGGCGGTGGTCCCCAGCAGCATGGAGCTGGGCACCAGACGGGAGACGGCAGCGGCCTTCTGGACTCTGCTGCTGCTGCTTTGGGCCGCCTCGGGTGCCTCCTCTCCAGAGGGGGCCTCGGCCTTTGGCACCGACTTCAACTACAAAGGTACCCGCAGGCCTGGGCTGGGCTGGGCTGGGCTGGGCGGGGGGAGCCGTCCTGGTGGTTCCAAGAATGCCAGGGCAAGTGCGGCATGGAAAGAAGGGGGTCCAGGTCCCTGGCTGGGGAGGGTTGGCGGCCGAGGCTCCTAGAATGTGGCCCCGCGTGTCATGGGGAGGAGGACGTGTCGGCCAGTGTTCCGCCTGAGCTGAGTGAGTGTGAGCTAGCTCACAGTTTTTTAGCCTCCGGCTCACAGATTATTGTTTTAGCTCAGGGAGGAGGGCTCCAGAGCAAACTAATTTATGCAGTAGCCAGATCACTCACTCACAACTTTAATGCCAGGAGCTCACGAGGTAGAAATTTTGCTCACAAGGTTCCACATCTTAGAGGGAACGTTGGTGCCAGCAGGTGCAAAACAGATTTTAGCTCATCTCTCCACCTCATCTCATGTGCCTCTCTCCTCATTCTCTCTTTCTCCCTCTCTCTCACTCACTCCTCTGCTCTTTACCAAAGCAGAACAAAAACATTTGCCAGAGAGTTGAAATTAGGGGTTTTTTAATTAAAAAAAACACACACCATGGGATGGGATCGCCCCCCCCCCCAGCAGCTCCCTGTCTGTCCATCGGGACACAGTTGATGCGTCTAAAAAGGTCGGCTGCTTCCAGGGCTCCCTCTAAGCTGCGGAGTCCTGTGAGCAAAAATCCTAGTTTGTGAGCTGTTCGCATTAAAGCTGTGAGCCAGCGATTAGTTTGCTCTTCTGGAGCCCCATCCCTTCCTGAGCTGAGACAAAAATGTGCGAGCCGGAGGCTGAAAAACTGGGAGCTAGCTCACACTCACTCAGCTTAGAGGGAACAGTGGTCGGTTCCCTCATTATAGTTTTGAGGGATGCAGGAGTGTGTCTGTGTGTCTGTGTGCATTATGGTTGTCGTCTCCAGGCTGGGATACACCTAGATATTTGGGGGTGGAGTCTGGGGGGGGGCTGCAGAAGGGAGGGAACTCAATGCCACAAAGCAGCCATTTTCTCCGGGGGAACTGATTTCTGGAGATCAGTTGCATTCCATGAGAACTCCAGGCCTCACCTGGAGGTTGGCAGCCACAGGCGCATGCATGTAAATGCCCGCTCTTGGGCCTGGTTCTAACAAGGGGAGGGGCGGGTGGGCTGGCTCCGATCAATCCTTTGTGACTCCGCAAAGGAGCCTCCGGTGGCATTGCAAACACATGCTCATAGAATGTCCATGCCACACAAATTCTGGGGGGCGGGGTGTGTGTCTGAATTTTGAAATTCAGCCATGTCGGAGACCCTGAGCCATTTCCCCCTGGCTAAGCACTTCACAGGCCCCTCGTTTGCTTTCCTGTGGCATGAAACCCAAGATCAGTATCAGGCACTTAGAAGCAGCAGCAGCAGCAGCAAAGGGTGATTTATCACGGAGGAGGGCAGCAGTGGGAGGCTGCATGCGCCGTGCATGCATGCAGCACATCTGTTGACATGGCATTGCACAGGCCTGCAAAGGGGGTATACTTAGTGAAGCTGAAAGAAATTATCACGGCATTCTGCCACTTTTGAAATTCCCCCTGTTCCAATGTAGCGCCCTCGCACCCTTTGCTGAAGTCCATTCGGTAGATAAAGCCAGTCAAAGGGGGGGGGTATTTCATGCCACCCCTGACTTCTTCTGTCATGGATTCCTGACCGTATCGAATAGTAAACAGACTATGCAACCTGCCCCTCTCTCGTTCGGCCAGGGCACTGGGTCACGCTCTTCTGTCTGGGCGCTCAACCTAACTTCAGTTTTTCTTCCAGATCCTCCGTCGTTTTTTTAGTCTTCCCCCAAATTATTGTTCTTTTCCCAGTGTCCTTTCTGATTTACCCTTCTCAAAACTGAACACAGACAACAAAGAGCACGACCCACCAGGAGGAGTTCTTGCTCACGTCCCATTGGCTAAACTTGAACTTGCACGTGACACGTGCCTGGTGGATCGTGCCCCAGTGGGAGTCTTCTGCAAGGGCTGAGAATGGAGCTGTTCCTATTCCTTCTTGCAACTCATGAGAGAGCCAGTTTGGTGTAGTGGTTAAGTGCACAGAGGACTCTAATCTGGGAGAACCGGGTTTGATTCCGTACTCCTCCACTTGCAGCTGCTGGATGACCTTGGGTCAGTTGCAGGTTCTTTCAGAGCTGTCCTTGAAAAAGAGCAGTTTCTGTCAGAGCTCTCTCAGCCCCGCCTACCTCACAGGGTGTGTGTTGTGGGGAGGGGAAGGGAAGGGAGTTTGTAAGCCGCTCTGAGACTCCGAGTGAAGGGCCATGGGGTATGAATCCAATCTCTTCTTCAAATTTGGTGAAAGGGCTCAGAAGAGCCTGCAAAGTGGGCAGTGAGAACGGACCAATCAGAGTGGCCATAATGGTATCCATGACTGAGCTGAGCTTTGAACCCTTCTGTCTCTCAGCTGTCTCTAACCCAAGTGAGTCTTCTCCTTAGCTGCTTCTCATTCATGCCGGCAGGGTAAAAAGTTGTTTTATTGGTTTATATTATGCATTCATTCTTTCGTGCATGCATTTATACCCCACATTGCTCCCCCTCAGTGGGGAGCCGAAGCAACTGACACCATGCTCCCCTCCTTCATTTTATCCTCCCAACAGCCCTGTGAGGTAGGCCAGGCTAAGAGCGTGGGACTGGCCCAATACACACACACACACACACACACACAAATCCACTTTCAATCCACCTTCAGTGTACTTTCCAACTGCATTTTACTGTGTGAACTGTGTTCATCAGTGGCTATTTTACTGTGTCCATCAGTGGCTATTGGCCACAAGGTCTAGATAGGAGCTCTCTGTCTGAGGCAAGGGATGCTCTGTATTCTTGGTGCTTGGGGGGGGGCAACAGTGGGAGGGCTTCTGGTGTCCTCCTGGGCCCACTGCTGGACCTCCTGATGGCCCCTGGTATCTTTGGCCATTGTGTGACACAGAGTGCTGGACTGGATGGGCCACTGGCCTGATCCAACACTGGCTTCTCTCTTATGTTCTTATAAGAGGGAATCGGATAAGCATCTGGAGCAGAGGTCCCTCAGTGGCTCTTAGCCACAAGGGATAGATAGGAACTCTCGGTCTGGGGCAAGGGATGCTCTGTAGTCTTGGTGCTTGGGGGAGGCAACAGTTGGGAGGGCTTCTGGTGTCCTCCTGGCCCCACTGCTGGACCTCCTGAGGGCACCTGGTATTTTTGGCCCCTGTGTGACACAGAGATTGTTGGACTGGATGGGCCACTGGCCTGATCCAACATTGGCTTCCCTTACGTTCTCTTCTGTTTGAAAGTGCATTGAGAGTGGATTACGTACTGCTGCCTTTGCCTCTCTGTTTTGGTAGCCGTTTAGAAAGGGGAGGAACTCGGCTGTCCCCCCAGCCCTCCGCAAACACTCCAGGGCCTCCGCTGTTTCCTGTTCTTCTCTCTCCAGCCCAGATTCTGCTGGGCCTTGGCGGGAGCGGAAGGCAGGGACAGAAGGTGCCCACCCAGCTCTTATCGCGGGAAACACATGTCAGATGGAGATGGCAGCGCTGCTGCTGGTGTGTTGTTTGCCTAACACAAGGGGAGAGAGCAGCATAGCCGCCGCGCCGGTCGAGTCAGTCTGGTAGATAGTCATCCTCTGTACTCCAATCTGGATTCAGCATTCCGAATGAACTCGCAGCACAGCAATGTGCAGCGGTGTCCCCTCTCAGCTGAGTTAGTTTTTAGCCTCCGGCTCACACATTTTTGTCTGCGCTCAAAAAGGAGGGCTCCAGAGCAAACTAATTTATGCAGCAGCCAAGTCACTCGCTCACAACTTCAATGCCGGTAGCTCACAAAGTAGATGTTTTGCTCACAAGACTCCTCCACTTCGACTTAGAGGAAGCATTGATAGGCAGGCACATCTACTTAAGTTTGGTCCAAACCTGTCTGGTTTCCTTCGCTCTTCTGGAGCCTCTTCTCACAAGAAAATAGAAAACCGTCCAGGGGCTGATGCCAAAGTGGGGCCCAGGAGCCTTGCTTGAAGCAGCCCACCCTTTCGGCTTCAGAACTTGCTTTTCATTGCCTGGACTGTCAGTCTAGGCACATTTACATTCTCGGAGCATGTGCAGAGTAATAGTCCCTCTCTTCACTGAGAAATGATGGACTTGTTTCAAGCACTCGCAAGGTGCTTTCTCTGCCCAGATACCAGTCAAAGCAATATGCGATAAAACAACCTAAAACTGCTGTGCAACGTTAATAAAAGATTAAAACTGGCCCATAGATCTCTGGGACTGGAGAGAAAGGCTCCTTCTCTCCTCCCCCGCTCAGGGAAGAATGGGAATGTCCAGTGGAACTGAGCCCTGCTCTCTCTCTCTCTCTCTCTCTCTCTCTCTCTCTCTCTCTCTCTCTCTCTCTCTCTCTCTCCCC